ATATTTGTTATTTCATTTGTTGTCTAGGTTCCATGTTTTTTCTTTTTTTTTTTTGGTGGTGGGTTATATTTACTGATTTTTGCATATTATATCCAGAAAAAGAATTTAGTTAAATTCTAAATTCTAAATTCTTTTGAACCATCTGAAAGGTAAAACCCAAGGAATTGTTTAACTGACTGGATTTTTTTTTTTCCCCCCCGGTATTGAGGATTGAACTCAGGACCTTGAGCTTGCCAGGCAGGTGCTTATTCTACTGAGCTATCTCCCTGGCCCCTGACTGGAAATGTACTTGTTATTTAGCCACGTAAAATGTACATTGGAGGGATGGGGAGATAGCTCAGTAGAATAAGTGCTTACCTGGCAAGCTCAAGGGCCTGAGTTAAATCCCCAGTTCCACAAAAAAAAAAAAAAAAAAATGTACATTGGAAAAAGACTGATGCTGTATACCAGTATATTGGTGGTGGAAATTTGAATGATTTTTTTAGTCTTTCCTTTTGCTTATATATTTTTTTGATGTATACTTCATACTGAAGTACTTATATCAAGAAATAAAAAGTTGAGAAATAATATATTGCCCACGTTATGCCATCTTGTACATCTCCAGAGTTCTACATTCTATGTTACCTTTTTAAATTAGTAAACTCTTGTTTTTTTAGTGCTGTATGGATTTGGGAATTTCTTTTGGTCAGTTTAACTGTACAGTGGGCCAAGTTGAAAGTGATTTTATACTTAAAAATGGGATCCAGTTTTAAAGTTGAGGGTTACACACACATGCACACAGGCAATCTAATAAAACTGCTGATAAACTGAGCAAACTGCTAATGGTTTTTAACTAGAAATCATGTTGGGACGAGCAGATAAGTAACTAATATTGTGACTTTCTTAGGCTATAGAAAGTTGGGTCATAGAGTTGTGTAGAGCAAAGCTTCTTCCAGCTTCTGCAAGTGCTTATCTGAGTTTGCTATCTTCTTGCCTCTGGTGAAAATTGGCTGGTCTCTTGCCAAGAAGGCTATGTTGGCTAACATGTCAGGTCAGCTGAATTGGCCTCCTCTTTAGTTTGCAAATAAAATATATGTGGAAATAAATGTGTATGTGTGTGGAAGTACATGTAGCTGTTTTTGTTCATTTTGTTTTTTGATGTCTGTTTTCAAAAATCTTTAAAAGAAACAAAAAACATGAAACTAAGCAATCAGCAAACGTTGCTTCTGAAGTGACAGGTCTCCTCTGTTATGTTCTTGCAGCTAGAGGACACTACATTTTCATTTTTTTTTTTTCTTCTCATCTTTCACATTTTTGACTTGGTGAATTGCTGAGATGTGAATCCTGTGCCTGAAGCACAGGATTGCTTATTGAACTAAGCAGTTCAGGAGCCCATAGAGTCAGTGCACTCACTTTTCATAGTTTTCTTTTTGAGCATACCATTTATTTACCTTCTTCATGTCTTGGCCTTCGGTGTAGTGCAGGTATGTGGTGGTCTTTAGGCGGCACACTGATCACAGTGAGAAGATAGTTTCTTTTTCAGTTTTATTTGAATCCTTTTGATTATATAAGCAGAAAGGTATTTTGGTGCATTGATATCTGTCAGTCTATAAACAGGGAAAGCAGACTTGAGGTTCAAAAGAGTTAGCAGATACCAGAACCTAGCTAGAACTTAACATTCTATTTTTTTTTTTTTTTTTTTAAATGTTGCTTTTCTGGTCGATGGCAAGTAATGTGGCTTTTCCAGTTTTAATAGATTCCTTTTTTTTTTTTTCTTTTGTAAGGCACAAATAGTTGTAAACACAAAGCAGTGACTCTAGGAAATACCTTTAAGGGAAACTTGGGAAGTAAGAGAAGGTAGGGGTACAGTTACTACTGGAGCTTAATCCCTATAGGGACCTCTGGGTGCCAGTGTAACACCTATATTGCTGGTCGTCTTACCTGACAGCACAGGAAGGCACTGGTGCAGGCGCTGAAATTCTCAGTAGTCATTGCTTGAAAGTGGCTGTGAGGATGTTAATTCTCCAGATTTCCAATCTGCCCCTCCTTCAAACAGAGCAAGCTCTGGCAGCCAGACATGAGGCAGCTCGTTGTAGGTGTTGACAGTTGGTCTTTGTGCACATGGTAGGTGAAGAGGGCACCAGCAGCATCTGCAGTACCCCCAGAAGAGCAGTCCTCCTCCTCAGTAAACAACCTCATACCTCCTCAGTAAAGCACTTCATGCTTCTGGTGCTCATGCCAGAAACTTTGGTTTTTTTAAAAAATAATTTTATTGGGAAGCAAATAGCAATGAGACAGTTTCAAAACTGATTACTAGCACAGTTTCAATAATTAATACATAGCATATTGTTGTCTTCTTGGTGGTTATTCATAGTACAAGATACAGACATGATATCCTGTCCACAAACCCTATTCGAACAAATCTTTCTATTCATTGAATTAAGAGAAAGTAGCTGTGTATCTATTCTATTTTGAATATACAGATACAAAATGGTCCTTCATTTGTATCCCCTTTTTTTATTTAGTTTTGTCGGAGAAGGGCATTCCATTGTCATTTAAATATTGTAAATGTGTGAATTCAGCAAAATATTCCAATATAGTCCAGTAGTCCATAACGGTGGGTTTTCTGAAGGACTGGCAATGTCAGAAGTTGTTGACTTGAGCCTTTTACAGCTCAGCATATTTCTTTCCTAGTCCAAAGCACATAGCAGCCCGTGCCTGGGCTAGAATTCCTGAACGTGTAATTCAGCCCTGTCATTGCCGACATGTTGCCCTTAGCCACGCTTGGCTGCCTGGATTGCTAAAAACTTTGGAGTCAGCTTTGACCTTTCTTTCATATCTCTCTTCAACCTGTCTGCAAATCTTGTTGGTTTTACCTTTAAAATATATTCAGAGCCTGGCATGATGGTGACACGCCTATAATCCTTGCACTTGCCTGTAATCCTAACACTCACCTGTAATGTTAGCACTTGGGAGGCCAAGGTAGGAGGATCACTGAGCATTCAAGGCCAGCCTGAACTATGTAGTGAAGACTTATTTCAAGTCTTCCCAAATACATATATTTATATTTTCAGAATCTGACCTTTACTTGTCCTCAGGGCTGCCATTTGGCCCCACTCCCTCTCTGTCAACTCATGGCTTGCTAGGTGAGTTTGCTTTCACTATAAACAGCTGGAATGATCTGTATAAAACCTGTCATGTCACATGACTCCTCAAAACCCTCTAGAGCTCTCTGTTCTACTCATTTTTTTTTTTTTTTCTTTCACAATTCAGGCCCTTACTGATAGTCTTTACAGTGGCTAACAAGACCAAATGCCATCTGACTTTTTCTTACTGTGTCCATGTGTTTGTATACATGTGTGCATATTTGTGTATATTTATTTTTGTTTTCTGGTTTCCATCTTGTCAAAATACTCCTTTAATCCCCATTCTTTTTACTGTGGGTTCTGTGATAATTGTTGAGTTCGACTTAATTGTAACAGTTTGCTTTTCATCTTTATCATTACAAGACTTACTGATTTTTTTAAGTTGCCATTCAGTAAATTGGGTTTTACAAATGCATGCAGTAATGTATCTACTGCCACAGTTCTTAAAAGAATTTTTGCCCTAAAAGTTTTTCTTATGCTACCAGACAATCTTTTGCTCTGCTGTTCAATCTCTGGGAGTCATTGATATGTTTACCCCCTTACAGTTTTGTCTTTATTTTTATCATATTGTTGGGATTTATAGAATATGGAGACTTCGGGGTTTGGCTTTGTTCATTTAGCAAAAAGAATTTTTTCCTTTGTGACACTGGGATCGAAGTCAGAACCTTTCATGTGCTAGGCAAGCACTCTGTATCCCCAACTGGAACAAAATATATTTAAGATTATGCCATGTTCTTTTGTGAATCAGTAGATCATTTCTCTAGTGTCCTTTAAAATAAAGGTTCAACTGATTTAAAGAAAATATTGGATAAAAGTAGTACAAGTGTTACATCAGAAAAAAAAATGAACCTGCATTATTAAGGTTAGAAGTCAGTAATAAAATGGAATGGCTTTTCTTTATGTGGTGCCTCTGCAGTAATTAACCGCCAGCTCTGAGGAAGCCACTTAAAACCTTTCTGTTCTTTGGTGAAACAAACAGTAATGTATCTGATCTGGTGATTGTTGGTATCTATCTCCCAGAGTATCAGTAGATTCTTTAGGTGACTGTTTTTTAACATTAGCATTTCATTATTGTGAAGCAGCTGCCATCCCTGGATTTCAAAATTGTTAGGACCAGCTATTATAAATGCTTTGTAAGGCTTCTAGTGAAGGAATAAAGAGTCTGCCATTTGGAGTGAAGTACACTTTCTCTAGAAGGCTTCTTGACATTGACTCATTTTTTTCTTTCTTTCTTTCTTTCTTTTTTTTTGTGGTGGTACCAGGAATCAAACTCAGGACCTTACACTTGCCAGGAAAGCAGTTATTTCACTGAGCTATCTCCCTGGCCCACATTGACTCATTTTCTGTTGTGCTTATCAAGTTCCAGGTTTTTGGAGCGTGAGTTAGAGCTGTCATGTTGTCTGATATGTACTGATGGTACCATAGATGTTACCAAGTTTTTTGGTAACCTCCGTGATTGTAGCTGTTAGGCCGTAATCCCATAGCCCTCCCATTAGATTTTCCCAGGAATAGATTAGTTATTGGGGTTCATAGTTTCCTAAAACTTTCTTTTGTCTTACAGGTAGGCCATATTGTTATGTATTTGAGGTTCAGAGCATGTTTGAGAATGCCTCATGGCGGACAATTTTGCATAAAACTGGGAAGGAAGTGAAACAAATGATATTTGCTTGTTTTGTTATTTTTAAGATAGACAGATTCATAATTTCTTTTAAACTCACATTTAATGGCTATTTTAACATTCCTAACCAAGGTTTTTTTTCTTTTTTTAAATTGAGATTCAAAGGAGCTAATGGAAGGAATTTCAGAGTAGAAAATTGGTACAATTCATATTTATATGTGATGCATAGTAATATTTATTTTACTTTTTATTTGTAGTAATGAATGTTATAACTATTGAAGATTATAAGAGCACATACTGGCCAAAATTGGATGGTGCCATAGATCAACTTTTAACCCAGAGTCCTGGTGACTATATCCCTATATCCTATGAACAGATATACAGGTAAGTCAATATTTAATTTGCCTGGGTATAAAGGGGTATTTATATGAGCTCAGTACAACTTGAATTATGATAACTTGCATGAATATAATACACAAAATACATAAGGTGAGATTTGATTTATGCTGTTTGATTCACAAAGTGGTTTTCAGATCAAAAGAGTAAATCCTGCTGTTAGACTTCCACCTTCACTATAAACCACAGAAACCAGGGAGGTCAGTGAAAAGAGGAAGAATGACTGAAGTATTTGGTATAAAAGTATATAATTTTTAGTCTCACAGGGAGATCCTAGTTGAATTTATTGATGTTTGTTGGCACTCAATTCTAACTCTCTTTGATTATTTTGTTTCCCAGCTCCTGGTAAATGGAAGCAACAAATTAGGAACTGGGGTGGGATGTGAGATCAGCACAGTGACAGGAAGAAGTGACAACTATGTTGTTCCACACAACTGATGTACAAAGAGGTTGTATTACAAACATTTTTGTTAGTTAGAAACTTTCTCTCTACTGGTTATCACTCTCTCTTCCTTATTTTGACATTTGTTTATATAAAAAGAGAGCAAGAGAGAACCTGGTTTCCCGGAGTTATTGTGTTTATAGCTTAGATTTTCATTCAATGTTAGTTTATCTAGTGATTATTAAGTTTATACTACTCGTTATTTGCAGTTAGTTGTAATATTGTTTCCATCTAAACACTGATGGGGGGAGGGTAAATTTTTTATTAAAAGTTGTAATTGTTTTAAATTTGAGTTACTTGTATAATGAAAGTATGTTTTAATCTTAGAATGAATTGAAGTGCCTCTTTATTAACTGTGCTTTTTCGTTTGTTTTTACAGTTGTGTGTATAAGTGTGTATGCCAGCAGCACTCAGAACAGATGTACAGTGATCTGATTAAAAAGATAACTAATCACTTAGAGAGAGTCTCAAAGGAGCTGCAGGTAAAGAACTGAATGTATTGGCTTTTGCTGCTTTGAGCTTTTTTGGTTGGTTAGAATTGGACTGTTTCATGTACACATGGAATCTTGTTAATTTGGTAATGGTATAAATTTGTAAATGTTTTCTAGGTAAATATTGAGGAAATCGTCTAATCTTTAGATTATTAGTTTAAAAATTGGATTTACATCATGAAAATTTTTAGATTGAATACATTTCAGAGCTGAACTAATTTTAAAGACTCATTTTTCCTTGTTTACTTCAACAGTTGTTGACATTTATAGTATAAAAATATGTTCACTATATTTTAACTTTTTCTGGACCTTGCATTATTATCATGGAGGAGTGGTCTGCTCACCAATTTCTAATGACTTCCAACATGAACTGCTAAAGTCAACTATTGACAAACCACCTGCGGTGATGAGCAACACCCCGGCTTTTAAAATCTGGCTGGCTACAGAAAATACATTAAGGAAATGCTTGGCTGCCTGCTCCCACCTTGCCCTCACTGGTCTGTCTCAGGAAGCTTCTAGTATTGGAAGTCAGGTCCTGTCTTTGTGCTGGGGTTAGATCCACCTTTGTTCTGGTGTAAAAATAACATGGTGTCTAGAAAAGTCCCTGAGGAGTAGGTTACCAGGGTCTGTTCCACAATTAGGAAGGACCTCTATGTTTGTAAAATCACCATAGTTTTTAACAGCACTGGGGCAGTGTGCAGGGGAGGTGTTTGGATGTCATTTCTTTTTTCTTTTTTCTTTTTTTTTTTTCAAGTGAAAAATCTTTATTGCGAAGTTTCCTGTGGTGACACTCCCTCCTGAGCTGGATCCCAGCTAAGGAGGCAGAGGCAGGAGGTCATAGGTGAGCCCCAGCCTGAGCAACTTGGTGAGACCTGTCTAGAAACTTTTCTCAAGGGCTGAAAACATAGCTCAGAGCAAACGCTCTGGATTTATTCTCTTGTTAACAAACAAACCTTCTATGCCAGCTACGATTATCATTAAAATTTAGAAGTACAGCTTTTAACGGTGTCCAGGTAATAACGTTCCCTTTGCTGCACCAGCAGAGCTGTCGAATGCCCACCCTGCAGGTACCGACGCGATGTTCCCTTCGCTGCGCCCTCCTGGGTGTTGGTGGGGAAAGCGTGCTGCTGCTTGCTGCGGCCACCTAGACCCTAGAGTACGTTCTCTAGTAATCCTTTCAAAGAGGGTACATGGCAGACAAATCTTCTGAATTGGTCAATATCAAAAAATGTTCTTGTTTGGCCCTCAAAATCAAAGGCCAGTCTGGCTGGGTACTGGATTTGCGGGTGGAAGCCGTTCTCGTGCAGGAGTCTTACGATGTCGCACCACTGACTCTGGGCGTCCAGCGTGTTCAGCGAGAAGTCTGCCGTCAGCCGGATCATCCGGCCCACATAGGTGACTTCTCTCTCTCATGAGGCCTTCAGGATCTTCTCTCTCTCACTGGGGCTCTAGAACGTCACCAAGATGTGTCTAGGAGTGAGCTTTCTCTCATCCACCTTGCCGGGGACTCGCTGAGCACTGACGATCTCAAGCCTTGAGCTCCTCCTCAGCTCTGAAAAGTTTTCTTCAATGATTTCTTTAATTATGTCCTCTGCCTCGTTCGCTTTGTTATCCTTTTCTGGGACTCCGATCACGCGGACGTTGGAGCTTCTGAATTCGTCTTCCCAGATGCGAAGTTTCTCATTATTCAGCAGCTGCCTGGACATCTGCACTGCGTCCCTGGATGCCTCTTCCACATGGCTGTCCAGACATCTCTTTCCTTGAGCTGAGTTACCCTGTGGTGCAGGTCGTCTACCGAATGCTTAACTTCCTCTACATCTGGGCAACATTTCCTTCTGTGCTCCATCTCCTCTTGTATCTCTCTGAAGATGCCAACCACTCTTCTGAAGTTTTCTTCTGTTTCCTGGATTAAGGCTGCTTCTTCAGATGTCAGCTCTTTCATCTGCAGAGTCTTGTTCCTCTCTTTCTCTGTTTTCCCTAAAAACTTGGTGATCTCTGATGAAGCACTCGGATTTGCCAGTGAACACGTTTTGTGCTCACTGGAACTTCGCTCTTGTGATTTCGAGAGAGCACTGTGATGCGAAGTCGGATGGAGAACCTCGATTCTTTGACCTCCAGAAGCAGCCGTTTCCTGCACCTCAGCCTTGTGCTCCCCCTGGGTCTGCACCGGCCCTTCCTTCTCCCGACTACAGGCAAGTCCCTCTGGCAGCACTGAGGCCCCTTCTCCCTCTGTGCTTGGGCTTCCTCCTCCCTCATGCTCCTCCTCCGTCTCAGAGTCTCCTTTTCCCTCCTTATCAGTCTCAGAGTTTTCTTCCTCCCCCCAGGATTCTTCCTCCTCCTCCTCCAGCCACATCCCTTCCTCCTCCCCCTCCTCCTCTTCCTCCTCTCCCCACATCCCTTCTTCCTCCTCCTCTTCCTCTGCTCCAAAGCTCTCTTCTTCCCCCTCCTCTAGCCATGAGAGTCCTCCTGCACCCCCACCTTGGGGCTTTCCTTTCCCTCCCACACTGAAGATGCTGAGCTCCCCGCCTGAGCACCAGCCACCTTCACCTCTTTAATGAACAGCAAGTTAAAACCATCGCTCGCTGGGTCTCCAGCTCCACACTTTGAGACTCTCAGAGGATTCTCCCCCTTTCTTTGCATCCCATGTTGCCGTCCTTGCACTCTGTGGGAAAGCATCTTTCAGCAAATCTCTCATGAAAGCTTTCTGGCTGGCAAGGCACCTGAGGCGCTCTGCAGGTCTGAGACTCAGGTCTAGACTTCGCCATCGCATTTAAATGACAGTTCAACCTTGCATAGAAACTTGGGGTCAAAACCGTTTTCTCCCAAAACGCATAAGATCTGAGCCCGCTGCCTGCCGACTTCAGCGATGCGGAGAAGTCAGCCGCCAGCGTCAAGGCGGCGCCCTCAGTCCCCGGCCGGCCTTTTTCTTCTGCAGCCGGCTCTTCCTTCCGCGGGTCCACGAGGGTTCTTCCTGCCCGTGTTTCCTTCGCTGGCTCTCGCTCTCCGGCCTCTTCTTTCCGAAGGTCTCCCGTGGCCTCACACCCTCTCTGTCCCTCGTTCCTGGGCGAGGCTGCGCCCGTGCTCTTTCTGGCTTGGCCCGGTGGACGGCCCGCGCGGGCTGTGTCCGCGCTCCTTCCCCGCGCACCTGGTTTTCTTCCGGAGCTCAAGCCTTCGGCATGCTCGCCCGCGCTGGCGTCCTCCGTTTTCTCTACCAGCGGCGCTGAACCTTTTACTTTTTGTCTCTCCTTTCTGCTCCAGGAGCTCTCTGCGTTTTTCACTGCGGGTGTTGTGATTTTTGCTTCCATAAATTTCCTTACGAAAGTCTTCACCGCCTCTTCAAACTTGAGCTCATTCCTGTCACGTCCGGTGGCATCCTTAGAGGCTCCTGCCCTCTTGGTGGAAGTCTTTCCTCCCCTCCTGTGGCCTTCTTCCTGTCCCTTTGCTGGTCTTGCCAGCTTGGGTTGAACCCTGGGCATCATGGCTGTGCTGTCAAAGCTGGTTTTCTCTTTTGGCATAGTAGATCTGTGCATGTCCACAGGGTAGACGTCTTAATTCAAATTTTTAAAAAAATGTCACCTGTCCCCGCTGGCCAGAGCTGCTCCTCACCTGACGTCTCTGGGAGAAGCTGGATGTCATTTCTTGCTTACTTTGTGGTCTTTGGTGGCTTAGTCATGCTTATCCCAAGTAGTTGCTGCACTAAGTAGTGTAGCTTATTTGTAAAATGATAGCCACAGCTAAGTTTTATTGTAGTCATGTTGTTAGTATGTTATTTCCTTCGTCTTTTTGCCACTAAATACAAGATTTTAATTCATTTAGCAGATAAATTTAGTTCTTTGGCATTGTGTATAAATTGTAAATAAAGCCCTGTGCATTGTATGATCTGTGCATTGTAGTTTTGAGTGATTTGTTGTCTAATTCTTGACCTCATTCTCTCTTTTCTCAGTGAGTCCAGCTTCTTGCCAGATCCTACTATCTCTGAACTCTATCTATTCTGTGTAATTGCCAGTCCCCTAGATTTGGTTGCTGTCTGTCAAGTGTTTTATAAAAATGCTCATCTCAGCTGGCTGCTCTGCCTTATTTTACTGAGATACCTTAACTTATTTAACTAATGTTTGATGGGTGAATATTTAGGTTGCTTTAACTTTTGACTGTTATTAAGCGTACAGTGGGTTATTAATCTTGTAAGTAATGTCATTGACTGAGTTCATCCTATGGTTCATAAAAGATGGTATCATGTTATATTCTGGATCACAGTCATGTGTCAGAGTGTCTGCTTTCTTTTGTACTAATAACAGTATGAAGTGAAATGTGTTTACTTATAATAATATGGGAAATATTGTTAGTAAAGATTAAAACTAGATAGGAATTTTTAATGATAGAAATTTTAAAACCATTGATAAACACAGAAATAAAAGTAAGTAAAACAAAGAGAGTTGAGTTTAGTTTAGAGTCATTACATGGAACGTCTGACCATTATTAGACAGTAGCATGAAGTGGTTCAGAATACAGAGGCGGAAAGCTCTGGTCTCAGCCCATCCACTTAGCAGCCATAGGCCTCTTGATGAAACTTGCTGATACTGTCTTTTAAATTTTCTCAACTTTAAGATGAAGTGGCTTTACTAAATGCATTTGTGGTTCCTTTTTTAAGATAGCCCACCTCCAGCTTCCTGACTGGCATGGGTACTTCTTTGTTTTCTCAGTATTAGCATCATTTTTCTCCACCTTTTGAAGCCTTCTGGGAACTCCTGCACTCTCTTCAGAGCAGAACAGAACGGACAGAACAGCAGAACCAGGAACAAAAGAGGAAACAGAACATAACAGTTGGCATTCCTTTGTTTAGGGCCCATAGCATCTTGGCAGCAGCATCTCTGTCAGGGCAGTGATTGTTTATGGGACTTTCATAAGTCCTTTGTTGAGGGTAGGGGCTGTGTCTTATCTTTTTATTTGTAGTGTCTGGCACAGCTGTAACTCAGTAAATGTTTGCTGAGTGA